GTTTTGGGCAGCTGACACTGGGCTTTGTCTAAAGAATTCCAATGTACACTTAAACGTTCGGTGACTAAAATGCAGTCTTTGAGTAATAAATAACGTTTGCAGGTAGCGTCGATGTATTCACCGATTGCCAAGAGAGTTAGATGTACGCACCTCTCCATTTCATTGTTGGTCGAGATTAAATAAGAGGTCTTCCATCAGTAGTTAAGTCACTAACGAGGGCAGTAAAAATGAAAGGATTTGTTAGTATGACCTCCTACAACAATGAAAATGGTATGGTAATATTGTTCTTTGTAAAAGTAAGGAATTGGGGAAGGACTTGTTGCTGTTATCACGCAACCGTGAATAACTGACAAGAGTGTTTTTAATTTTAGGGGGGGGGAATGCCATCGATATCAACAACTGTTTTTATTTTAACCTTTTCATGAAACGTTAATCAGCCAACAAAGCTATACCGGAAAAGATTAACACCAAAAGAGAAATGGAAGGGGAGTTGACGAGATGACTAGGTACGTTTATGATGGCATTAAGGGACGTTTTTACAGTGATGATGAATAATCCGCCTGGGGTACAAACTTAAGTAAGCCTCTTTGATTTGGCTACTTTTTCTAAACCTGTATAGGGATGAAGATGTAAGTGACTCACTGATCAGCTCATCCCATGGGTTCTATTTTTAGCAAGGACTTTCAATACATCACGATTTGGCGAGGAAAAACTGCTCTTCAAAATAAACAAAAGTATAGGCCTAATCTTAGCACTTTTATGGCTGCAGTACAAAGTACTCCAAAAGACACGATTAAGAGAATAACGTTAACTAATTCAAATCGAGCAGTATTTCAGTCAACTGTTGAAAAGTAAGCGTGTTATGAGCGTTAGAGGTAGCTCGATGCGTATTCCAAATTCATTTCCTTACGCTAGTAACACATATTTTAGTCTTTGTTGATACTGGTAGTGCTTTTTAATGTTAGGAGTTTTTGAGGACCTCTGAGACTTCTCCTTTAGGCTTTTTTCAATAAAAAAAGAACACACACACATAAGAAAGCAAAAAAAACAGATAACTACAAGAATTTGCAAAGAAACCCTTCACTCAGCCGTGCATCATGGTCTCCATTTAGTTTTGAACATCACATTTGATGTCAGGAAGAGTGACTCGACAATACCGCGTTAGTTTATTCTTAGGAAAAAGCCACTGGAGGATCGCAAAACTTAAATGTATGCATTAGTTCAGCATGAGCTGCATTAACCTACAAGGCAACATTAAAAAAAAAACAAAAAACGAAAACAAAAACTGTCCTTCATTGGCGAAGTTACGGCCATACAACAAAGATTTCTTCCACGCATTTGAAACAACAGCACGGTCACTCTCTAAAGTTCATATGGTCATCTCTTTTACTCTTAGTTGAATTTGACCAACTTGTGTCTTATTGAAATTATTTTATATCTTCAGCCATTCTGTCAGATTTAGTTCATCTTATTACTAGTTGCAATAATGAATTCCTCTTTTCAGATATCACCGGAGAGTGGGAGAGTGTTTGCATCATGGTGTACGACCTTTCCATCGTGTACAAGGCGTGGCGGAAGTAGGACCTGCCATTCATCAGTTTATGTTTTGCTTACCGAAACAGTGAAAGATCTTTGATTTAGTTGCAGGAAGGATCAAAGGCCCTACAGTTTACGCTGTAAAAAAGTTACATTCAATAAAATCATAGCAGATCTCATCAGAAGGGCGATAAAATCTTCTTTTCTAATGACCGTGTTCTTCACTGCCATCACTAATCTCTGCAAGTTTTCAAGAAATCATCAATGTCTGTCTAGCGTTGGCCTTCTGTACTTGTTTCTTTTCTTGTTTAAGAATCTAACGACCTCTACTTGACGTTGTGCAGGAAAGAGACTGTTTGGAAATAGCAGTACCTTTATAACTTTAATAAACAACTTGTTTGTTCCACAGATTGGATGACCTCTTCAGCCAGCTGTCCTTGCAGGTACCGTCACAGACTTGTACTTTTCCTGTTACAAAGCACTTGCATAAGCTAATAAGCTGAGTAAATTTAAAGTACCCTTAAATCTAGAAGAAGGAACAATTTTCGATACGAAAAATGAGTAGTACTTCTCTAAAGCTATTCATTCTCAAAGAATTTAACTTATTTCAGTGGAAGCTGTGATTAAGATAAAAGTCTAACCTTTGCTTGTTTTGTAATGATATAACATAACTCCTAAACCACATAAGACCGGAAAATAGCTCAGAGATTTGTGTCCGTTCGGAAGTCAAAGTCAAGGCCACTTCCAAAACAGATACTTTGCAGCATAGCTCTAACACCGGAAATGAGCGCGTGGCTCGAAATACAATAGTTTAAAACAGACTTACATTTTGTCTTAAGCCTGGAAATTCAATTATTTGCTTCCAATTAAGATTTGTGGAATACCGCCACAAATTCTAGAAAAATCAACGGATTATGACGAGGTTCTTTTCCGCAAATTTCTTAGGCCATTCAAAAATCAATATAATCCTCTTCTGGCTGTCACAATAACTAATTAGATCTTTATAAATCTTAAGTGCTATGCGAATGTCTATCTAATCTCGTTCTCCCGTTCAAGGCCAATGTGTTTATCAGCAATGAGGCCGGGCTGCCGTTGCGGCGCCTCTTTAAACCGACGATCACGTCTGTCGGCTCAATCTGTTTATAAGCACTATTACGCGATAACATCATAACAACCACCAAATGGAATTTCAAGTTGATAGAAAATTCCGATCGGAATTTCATGGAATGATGAAAACCATATTTGCTTTAAACATAAACGTGAAATCGAATGGCATCCAACTCGTGCTGTCCTTGATCAATTCCATCTCCGGTGTCGAAAATAGTAGGGCAGGTAACAAAGTTAATAAATCTCATTTGTCACCCCTGAACGATGTCCCATTATGCATTCTCAATCTTCACTGTGCCGTGTGGCATAATCACCGGAAATGAAACAAGGGTTGTACAGTTTACATGCCCTTGGTGCCTCTAAGCCAAGTTGTCTCTATTGTTGAAACTGAAACCGACAAACAACTCGACTGCAAATCTTCTACAATGTGTAGTTTTCCGAAGTTATAAAAATAAATGAATAAACAGAGTCATGAATAATTCTACACAAAAACTAAAATTAGAAAAAAACCAGCTTTTTAAAGGTTATATAAAAAGTAAATCAAGTGAACCGAAAAGAGACTCTGATAAGCCATCGGCAGTCGACGGATTCTTCGAATGCAACGATAGTTGTGTCAAAGAACAAATAGGCGAATAATTTAGACATGTTCGTAAGAAAAACATTAAAAATATAACAATTCAAACAAAAACATTATCTTGTTTTCTTGCGAAGTGGAAAATCACCAGCCGCCCATGAAAAAAACCTGCAGTTCCAAATTTATCGACTTAGTGTTGGTGGTTTACGAGGATGGAATCTTTGAAAATTTCCGGTTAAATCCGGTAAAACCTGAGGCGACGTCTTGTTTGCATCGTAATTTCCACGTGGCACTAGACGTAATCGTTTGCTTGAATAGCTTTGTTTTCATGTTATCCTATCAACATTATTTGACTCTGGCTTAGAGCGAGACTTTACTCCACTTGACGTCTCTGAAATAAGCGGGACCTGGCTTGTGGTTGTATTAAAGCTTCTATGTAAAAACAAAATAGAGAGCTGGTTACCATGAAGGGGAAGGGACAATCGAAAAGATTTAATAAAAGGTTCTCTAAGGGAATCCATGAATACTTGACCTGTGACCAGCCAATTATTGAAAAAGAAAAGTCGAAAACATTGATCTGCTGATACATGCGAACTGCCAAAGAGTTGCAACACGACCTTGACAATTCGGTGTCCTTAGCGGCTTCACAGACTTAAGGCAGGAAGTAACGAAAATGAAAATTGACAGAGTTATTCAAAGTACAGTACAAATGCAAATATTAAATACTAAATTCCGCACTAGCAGGTTCTTAGGCCAGTACTGAGAAATGATAAAGTTGAGTTACCCTTACTGCTCGGCAGTTGCCTTGATTACTCTATTGTCAAGATAAGTCACAAGCTATAATAGTTGAGAGGGAAAACTTGTTAATTGGAGGGAAACTGAAGACAAAAAGCAGCGCTCAAAATATACCTAATATTTCGTCCTAGCAGCTGATGTACATCTGCAGAACTATGTGTGATATTTCACACTATTGGAAAAAAGCAAATGATCCGAATTGGACAAACAAATCGGAGCAATGGTTTGTGTACGGTTTGCTAGACTTAGAAAGGACTGGGGAAACGCGAAAAATAAAATCTCCAGGAAGCACATGGAATTTTCTATTACGAGGCCACAGGAATAAACAGAGAAAAAAAAAAAACAGAGACACTAGTCTCTCCTCTATTTTGAGAAAGTACTGGCGAAGAACTAACCTAACATCAGAAAACCTATGAGGCGATAAACGTTTACCCGCAGCCATTTGAAATACTCATGCTCTTTTTCTGTGCATTGTGTTGGAAATGGATCAATCAAACAGTGCCTTGCTTTTGTTGGTTATTATTTTGGATAGTCACAGCTTGACCCTGCCATATCCTACTGTGTTGTAAATTGTTGTGTCGTAACCAGTGAGACTCGTGAATAGGAATTTCAAATGGAAAGCGACGATCAGCTGTTACGAATGAGCATTGTGTATTGCAACTGTCCCGTAAAAATTATGCCATGTGGTGGGCTCTTATTTCGAAATCTTGCGAAACACCTCTATTGTGATTTGGCCTTTAAACCGAATTCAACTTTATGCTATTCTTACCCAAAACCTCTTAAACAAGTATAAATCTTGCGTGTAGCAGAGTAAGAAAAATTCGCAGAGGACAGAAGGTTCTCCCGTAACACACGACAGATTGAAGTGGACAGAAGAAGTAAAACAGGTGGCTGATAATGGTGGGTAAAGCCCTTCATAATCATCGTCATCATCAGACAGTCTCAACTGATAAAATTTTATTTTTAAGAAAATTTACTTAAACTGCAACTTCAGCGATGTGTCAAATCGGGAAAAATACCGTCTCAATTTGTGTTTACGTTATCATTAGTCATAGTACTTTTTTGGTCAACCAAATCGAATCGAGCATAGCCACAAATAGGACACAACGTGAAACGTTTTCATCGTGAGGATATCTTTTGTTTGATTGTGTACGGAGCAATCCACGCAGACCTGCTGCCCCTCACTGTAGCCGGAATTGAGTTAAATTTAGTTCAAATGGAACCCTTCAGATGATTCTTTGAACAGATGGATAGCTAGTAAGAAAGCTTACAGTTTACCTCATCAAAAAGAAAGATGGCTTTGAGTACAGTGTCTCGAGTTCAAGTTGCACTGGAAAAAAAGAAAGAATATCTCTATAACTTAAAACAAAGGGTAACGCTAAACAAATTCCCCTTTCTCATGCTTTCTGGTGATATTTTGAACCACAATCTTAATTAAATTTAAATCCAGTTACAACTTCTCTAAGGAGTTCCTTTCCTACTCTAGAATGTGAGTCAAATTCAAGTTTTTAAATTGGGACAGTTTTCCTTCAATAGCTTCTTTATGAGGGATTTTCTTCCTGATTTGTAAACCAGTTAGAAGTGAGGTCCCTTGAAATAAAAAAAATGTTATAAACCAATAGTCGTACAAGGCCTGTACGACTTAACACATAATGCATACCAAGTGAATGGCAACGGTAAGACTTTTAACACAATCATCATGAAAGCCACGTTCCTCCTCACTTTGAGGAAAGAAGACTATCAAGAATGGACATACGGAACAAGACAACTTTACCCGTTTCTTCTGTGTCCTGTCCAGAGAAAGCAGATAGAAGTAATACGTTCTTAAAGCACGTGTTGCTGGTGGTAGTGGTTGATGCGCACGCACGTCCACTGCATCGGCCTCCAAAAGTGAATGGAAAAAGAACGAGAAAGGTCCCCAGCTATAAATAAAGAAATTCTCTCCTTATTTTCAAATCTCCTATTGCACTAATTTCGTAGATTTCTTAAATTTCAAAATAATTTCCTTATGATTGACATACTCGCACCTGCTTTCCTAAAGAACGCTAATATTTGATCAGCCTCCAGTAAACTGTCGTATCAGAATTGCAAGAGGTGTATGTTACCAAAGCTTTACAAAAAACATCAGGGAAGTCATTTTGGCAATTTCACAGTCCACATACTTGCTTTGTCCGAATTCACCATGAGAAGGCTTGACAGCTGTTGATAATATCAATTAATGATCTAAGTATTTTGTTATCAATTCTGATGCTAAATTATTTACAAGATGTGTTTACACTTTGTCAACAATTATGGTGTCTATTCCTTGGTTCAATTCCGGCACTTCAAGTAGTATATTTGGCACCATGAAAGAAAAAAAGTTAAAAAAATAGAAAAGAAATTTTTGGAAGGGCGATTTTACCGCAGAGAAGTCGATTCCAAGAAAAGGAAATGGATCTGAATCATTAACTTATCAGAAGACACAGGTGCACCGTGTTAATGCGTCGCTTAACAAAACGCCCTTCATCTGACGAGGAATTAATACATTTCTAGAGGCTCGCGCGTAAAGTAACGCTTCCACAAATAAAAAATCTGAGAAAGACAAATCACGAAACCACGTCTCAAAGATGCCTTCAAGAAACACACTGGGAAACATCAAGAGTAATTCATTTGCAACTGAATAGTGAACAATGCAACAGGTTATCAAGACAATGACAAAATATAGCTTTCTTGAAAACTGTCTCAGAACTAATCAGCTAGAGTAAAATTCTCAGTATAGTGATACAGAAAAGGTAAATAAATGAGACATAAGACGGGTAATATCGTAGCAAGATTTGAAGTGTCCCATCAACTGTAATTAATAACCTGTTGACTAAAACCTTGTGAAGTCTTTGTGATGTTGTTTTTGTGAAAAATTCAAATCCTGCAAAAAGCGTAAACAGTTTAATTCTGTTTATCGACTTTTCCAATTTGAATCCTTTGAAAACCTTACTTGTTTCTTTCAGGCACGGTCATCTCTTGAGATTGATTTATAGTAGATGAGTAAAATGGTTTACAGTAATTTTATTGTTGGATTAATCTAATAGTGTCACATTACAGGAAATCAGTCGTGTTCCTTCAAACGTGAAAAAAAGTGCGATGATAAGTAATGCTGGGAACGAGATAGAAGTAATCTATGAAACATCTCATTGCTTTCCCACCTGATGGGTAAATAACAATCAGCACTACAAACGTTTCGAAGCCATGATATACCATTATATCAAAACCTGTACGTATCGATAAAACCTTACCAAAATGGTATTTCACTTTCCGTGATACCTCGTCGATATAAACTGAAGCTGGTTTCAGCAAAGAAAAATTACACACCACAGGAAAATTTAAAACTCAGTACATGCAGATTTAGTTTCCTTCACGACATAAAATGAGGGCTCCAAGAAACTTTTGCTTATCAAGGGAAAGGGATGAATGGTTTCATTGTCAAAAAAATTTGTTCCTATTTCTCGGCCTTGTAAATTCATCGTAAGAACTAAATTGAGGGTAGAAAGAAAGCTCCCGACTGGAAGTGAAGGTGACTCTTGGATACTAGGTGTTACTTGAACAGGTGACCCATTTGACCACAATCAAAAGTAGCCTGAGATATCAATAGCTCTTCCTTCTGCTAAGAAATTGGAATATAAAATGGACTGAGCTATGCCTACCTCAAAAATTACCATTGTTTTGAAAAAAATCCGGCAAGTTGCAAGACTTTAAGATTGAAACAAGAAATAAGAACTGAAAAGGAAAACATTGCTCTATTCGTATGTATTTTGAGCGTGTGCAAATGTTAAATCCCGGTTTTACGGTTGAGGTTGGGTTTATCAGCTAAGTTCCAAGAACGAGCTGATGCTATAAGAGTCACCGATCAACGATGGACGCCGCCGGAAAAGGCAAGGTAATATTTGTCGGCGCAAAAGGCAAAGGGCCTTAAGGAAGTGGTATGATTATCTAGAAAAAGAAGTTATTCTCAAAAAGACTTCACAAGATTTTAACCCTGAGTCCATTACGTTATGTCTCAACCCACCAGGCAGGCGCGGGCAGGAATTAAAACCCGACGAATGCCTTGCAAAGTGAGGAAAATGGGCGAAGGCATATGTTTTGATAAATTTTTTTAGATAAATAAATCCAGCAAATTCTTCATGTGTAGTTTTTCCATAAAAGATAACAAATAAGATGATAAAAAGACTAAACTCTGGAAGGACTTAATGTTGCCAACACAGTAGCAATTCAATCCTTTTATGATCACGACACTTTAATCTCAAAATAATGATAGATTTTTTGCCTCGCCGCAGCCTTTTTCACGAGGACACACCAATTCTCCATTCACCCATACTAAACACCTTTTATCGTTCACTCTTTTGTTCGTGATAGAATTGTTGTTACCAATCACTTGCAGGGGCCCTCACTCAAACAACCAGCAACGCCTTTTTTTTTTTTTTCTTTGAAAAGTTATTGTTTTGTTTCTGCTAGTTAAGTAGCACTTCAAAGCAGGTATTTCGCGGAAATTTGACAAACATCCGAAATAAAGATGAAGCACCTTCACTTTCCATTTATTACTACACGACCTCAAAGTTTATAGCAAAACACCACGGCAAGGATTTAACAACTTTCCCAGTTCGCCTTTGCGCTTTCGGTCACACTGAGAAGGTGACAGCTTTAGACAATAGTCCTTTGTTTTGTATTCTGCGACGAACCCTCTATGCAGGTTCAAGACTGCCTTTATTGTAAGTCCGAAAAGGACGATTACGGGCGATCGAACATCCATGGCGACCTTTTACAAATTCATAGTGCCTTTTGTCTTGTTGTCGTGGAAACTTCCAAAGTCCATTCAAAATTAAACCTTTTCATGCCGTCAGTCACGTTTGTCAAATAATCGGTTCTTTAGAAAACACTTCCAGTTATTACTGAAGCATGAAAATCACAATCAATGCTGACCAAAGAAGCAATCAAAACAAATGAGCTTGTTGCCTCTTTCTTAACATATAATCCTCCAACAATTGTAGAGACACATTGCTGTCTGATTTTACATCTCAAGATTCACATATCGCGATAATTCATAAATAAAGAATCTACCTTCACTAAATGGTTTCAATTGACACACTCATAGAGCAATTAGCTCCTCTTAAAAACAGCTTTACCTAAGTACCGTGGCACAATATCACGGAGACAGACTGGAAAATAATTCTGGCTAAAGTGATAATAATATCAAAAGCTGCCGCGATTAAGTGAAGCGTGTGATGCGCCCTATGGTTCGGCCAAATGGTGCACTGCATGAAGCAGTTACAAATCGGAAACTCTCTAGAAACATCTAAACTACGATAAGGAGTCTACCATTTTGCTTCTTTACTTGTCAAAGACAAATTAACCGACCCTCAAAAAAAAAAAAGATTGTTTGATGACGTGAGACTTGAGAGGCACAAACTGACATATTGATTTTGATTTGCTTAACAGCAGGGGGTGCTTTATGAAACCTTTGGGTCTCGAGCCGTCATAGTTCGTCATAAACAATCCGCTATGTTTCATTCAAATCTAGCGAATGAGAACAAATTGCGCAAACAGGGTAGTGTGTATTTGTTTAAATGATGCTGTTTTAGCGTTATTTGCAATTGAATACGACATCAGTTTCACCACATTATCGTTTCTACTCTTATTGTACACGCAATTCAAGGGGTTTATTGTGGACATCTTTCAGGACCGCCTTCGTATTTTGAAGTTATTCCATTCTCTTTTAAGTGGTTCTGAAACGAATCACAAAAAGCACCGACAGAAGCGTTTTTTAATTAGTTTGCCTTTTGTAAAATTGCTTATTAATGAATCACTTCACAAACAGAGACGCCAGGCGTTCTCAAGAGACCCGCTGTGTACTAATTGGTATGTAATTTGTCCAAGATAAGTAGCGCTTTCGTATTTATTTGCTAAGTAAACACAAGATAATTTCTCCTCAAGTGCACTGTGTACTTCACATTGGTTCACTTAAAAGATTTTCATCGGCCTAAGTAAACCACCAATATTATGAAAAGTTTATCGGTTGTAAGATACAAACATACTTCATCCTAAATTCACGAACTCAAAAAACATGTTAATTTTTTATTACCAGGATAGAAACTTGCCACGAGCGAATTCCAGCTGACCGAAATGTAAATAAAAAAATCCATTGACTGTTTATCATTAAGTGATTGTCGAAAGAAGAAACATTCAAAAGAATTCAGTTCCTCGGTCTCAATGTAAGTTTTTAATTTGCTTAAATGAATAAACAAGCACATATATTTTACGCTACAATATGCTCGACATTGATTTCAAATTTCATCTAGATTAACAAGTGTTCTTTATAAACCTGCGCTTCGACACAGAAGTTTGTCAAGGAAGGCACACAACTCGACAAGAAACAATCATTCGTTTATCAAATAAAATTGGTCTTACAGGATCCGAAACAAGTTACTTACCATAAATTACGGTAATAGACTCTTGTCTTTTCATAAAAAAGTCTAGCAAGGAGATTAGCACTTCTACAAAGAGCCTTCAAGAGTGGTAAAATAGTGCCACTCTGTAAAGCTGTTAATACTAGCGTGAAGAAATATCAACTAAACTTCTAAAGAAGCTACAAGGTGCTTGAAACAAAGAGAAAATTATCTCCTGCCAGACAACGATAAACTTTAACATGCTAACCACGAGCAAGAAGAACGTTCTCCTTCTATCAAGCTATTAGTCACGTAAAAATAGTGGAAGCAAACAAGTCGATTGTATTTTCAGGAAACGCTTCACAAAAATTTATGTTGAAGATTGATGACCCAACTATTAAAGCGTAAACGATCTTTTGCCAGATGCTTGAGAGAAACACATGTCTAAGCTATCGTTTGAGTGACGACTTTTTCAACAAGCAAATAATAAAAGTCTGGTTTTCTTATCACAAAGCGACATTGCGTTCTCATATATTATATTCTAATGAACACCATATGGATGAAAGCTGTGTAGGTGTGTTCATCTACCAAGGGCCATGGCAGGTTTCTTTATGAAATACTGCGCCGACTGTTTGGAGCTTTCAGGTTGAAGCAATCCGCAGAAGTAGGAGGGACTTAACGAGAAGCAGTGTGGCACCAGTGCAAGTGGTTCTATAGAGCTATCCCGAAAATAAGAGACGAACCTAATACAAAGAATAATTTTATTCC